TGTCGAAGTAATCGACCGCCCCAGTCAATTTTACTGGGCAACTGTTTACCGCTAAACGGTCGCGTGGCAGTCCCTGTGAATACCTGAACAATGTAAAGGAGAGAGAGAGAAATGGGGTTTAACGTCCACTCGACACAAACCAGGTCATTTCGGGACCAACATATGGTTTAATTTTATTTCAATAATTCGCTTGCGCGTAGGGGTCTTTAGCAGTGGGAGGAAACCGGAGGACCCGGAGAAAACCCACGAGGTTGGACAGGCGACCCTACTCCTTGCCACGTACAACCGGGGATTCGAAACCACGCCAGTCGACTCAATGACAGACTTTATGATACAGCACGCGCACGCTAACCATTCAGTCATCCAACCCCCCCACAATGTCAAGGGACATCTTAGTGAGAAAATAAGACCTCGCTTCAGTCATTTATTGCTGCTGTAATATTAAAAGGTGGGAAAAGCAGTAAATGACTGAAGATTCTAATTTTTTTCAAAGATTCTAATTTTTATCCAAATTTCGTTTCGTCGTGTTTTTGGCCGACATTCCTAAATATGGACGTTGGCAGCGAAAAGGCAACTTGATAGGTGGAGACGTATTTTTTAACAGCCTGTTGTGTCGCTCATACTGGATTTAGCGAGGTAAGCGAGGTCTTATTTTCTCACTAAGACGTTCCATTACATTGTTCAGGTATTCACAGGGACTGCCACGCGACCGTTTAGCGGTAAAAAGTTGCCCAGTAAAATTGACTGGGGCGGTCGATTACTTCGACATTGATTCAATGCTAGCTTCGCTGGACGTAGTGTCGACTGTAAAGAGACCTTCGTTCAGAGCTGGACTATCCATAAGCATGCTCAAGGCGCTTTTAAAAAGGAGTAAGAAAATATCAATTAATTTAGTCTGGATAAGATAGTTTAAACATGTAAGTTTTTAAATGTGATTTAAAACTTGATAGAGTTTTACAGTCACGGATATTGATTGGCAAACTATTCCAGGGTTTGGGTGCAGCAAATATAACGAGTGTGAATGAAATGGGTTCTTACTTTTCTGCTCCAATTGCGGTGAGACTGTACATTCAAAGAGGGGCAACTCTTTTAACTAAAACATTTGGCCACAGATCACCAATGATTTCCTCACTGACTTTAATGTTAATTTTTGTCTCTTAGATCGACTCTAACTTTTTCCCAAATTGTCTGTGGGTAGAGCGCTTTCTACCACAGATGGAGCAACGCGTGGCAACCTCTTGCCCATACCACGTATATTTCATCATGAAAAACTTGAGATACACAAGCTGGAAGTAGAGATAACTAAATCTGCAATATTCCGTCCTACATTTCAACCTAACCAACCTCTTAACTCTTGAATCTTTCCGACTCAAAATCATGAATATTCACCGAAACCTGGCAGAAATTATATATATTCAAACTCTTTTCTTCATTACCAAAATGTCAAAAAAGATCGCCATTCAAAAGTGTGAGAAAGACTGAAAATAGCTTTAGCCCTTGTTTTGTAGGAATAGTTGGTGAGCTGTGTCCATTTCTGAATTGCCGTTGCTTCTCCTATTACGCAATGTCTTATCCCGGAATTAGTCAACATATAATGAGTACGAATGAAATTACGTCAATTGCGGTTGTTACTCTTATGCCTGTTACTCAATTTCGTATACTGGTCAGCACTGAATTCCAGCTGTCAACAGTCCTGGGTTAGATGATGTATACTGGAGTCGGGCCCGTAGCAAAAATTGAATTAGCCCCCCCCCCCAAAAAAAAATATTTCGCCAACAATAATGATTTCTTAGGAGCGTTCTTAGCCGGCCCCATCCTCAGCCCCTCCAAAAAATTCCGTAGCCCCTCCAAATTTTATGAGTTGGCTATGGGCCCGTTTAAAATAACTGGACCTCGGTTTTTGTACAATCCTAAAGACTAGATGCTGTTCGTAGCAGAAATTGCTATTTTTTCTTCTGAAGGAAACGGTTCCAGTCATTCATTTTTTGATACATTATAAAAACGTCACATAAGACAGTTTGGAATAACTTACTTGTTCGGAGAAAGTTAATCTGACATAATGCTACACTTATTTACACCTTGTCACACACGATCGGGGATCACGTGGCTAAGTTAGTAAGACGCAGGCTCGCTAGCATGGAGGTCGGGTGTTCTATCCCTGCATTGGCCGAGAAAGTTCATCCCGATTTTCCGGCGTGGTTTCCCCTTGTCAGTGATGCAGGACGAAGGGCCTGACAAGGACAGCTGTCTAGTCGTTCGGATGGGACGAAAAACCGAGGTCCCGTGTACACATTGGCGTGCAGGTAAAAGATCCCTTGGCAGTTGGAATTCGATATAAGAGTAGGCCGTAGCGCCGCTGCCCGGGCAAAATTTCTCTCATAGCACACTGTATGGCCTATGCCCGTCTTCATTAGCCCAGGTTAGGAGCATAACAGTTGGACGTTAAACCTCATTTCATTTCTGTCACACACGATCCTGTAGCACGATTTACCCACATCCACCCAAATCTACCCAAATCACCTCAAATCCACAATTATTTCTACTCATACCCCAATAATATTTATCAATATTTGATAAGATACAATTCTACATACCAAATTGTCATTTTTAATTTAAATCCGTAACGTTTTCGTGTTAAAAGGCCCCTCAAAATTTGTGATAAATGACCTGTAAGATCATTAAGCTAATAGGTTCTGTCAAATGTACATAAGTGGCTTACGTGATATTTTAATTTGATAATCTTGTTCTTTGTTTGGGCTGAAAGCTAATGAATAATTACTGATATATTGAACACCTAGGCAAACAATTTACGGAATGTGTTTAGAATATATTGTTACTATAAGATCATGGGATACCTACATATTATTATAAGATATATATATATACGATAAGAATATTCAAATGAACAAAATTTCATGGGGGGGGGGGGGGATTTGGGTAGATTAGGTTACATATTTTAAAAGAAAATATCTGGTTGTTTGATACCATCGCGTGACGTATAAAAGGCTACATCACCCGTTTTTTGGGAGGGTTTTTTAGGCAGAGATATAGGCCGTATTAAAATTCTCTTGAAGACGCTTACGGCTAGCCCCCGGATACATTCACTTTTTTTTAATTGTCTGTATGCTTGTGTTTTCCTGAGTATGATGTCCTGTCCGTGTATTTGTTTTTGTGTAAAATTTTGTGTGGTGCAGCCCCCCTGCACTTACTATACAAATATTTTGTGCACATAGTATTGTCACTGGGGAGACAATTACATGCAATAAGATTTATTTAGCACGCTGACTACTCAGCGTCAGAATTAGCGGGAAAAATTTATTGCCTCTGGCGACCACCGATGACGGTCACCAAATACATTTTAAAGGAGGTAAATCCCTTATAATTGATACCTATAAATTGACATAAATGGGTCGCAACGCATATAATAATGTAATATGAATGTATATAAACTGATTTTCATTCAATCGTTTCTGTTTTACTTTAATTTCTAATCAGTTATGTTCGGCGAAATACGCCAGAAATTTCAATCGAATGGCAATCTGTAGCGTCTGGTTATTCCAGTCTACACCGAAAGTATTTATTGTGCATGCCCTCCAGATAAGTATAAGACGTCACCCTAAGACGTCTAGCCTCCTTCGTCGAGTACCTTGTTACAAATGACGCTGAAAAGCGTTATGGTACACGATTCGTTTACCAATGGTAAAATGTTTATTTTGTCTTAAAGTAGCTAAGTCTCTAATTCAATATCATCAAAAATCTTCGACTTTAAAAACACGAATTATTTGTCAATTCAAATTAACATTGGTCTTGTAATCTTACCGGGAGACGATGGGCTTCTGATATCCAATATTCAAGACACAATAAACATTTTACCATTAGTACACGAATCGTGTACCATAATGTGTTTCAGCGCCATTTGGGACAAGGGACTCAAAGAAAGAGGCTAGACATATTCAACAAGTCATGTCAAATGGTGACGCTATATTCTTATCTGGGGAGCATGCGCAATAAATACCACCGGTGTAGACTGGAATAACCAGACATTAAAGAGTGTCATTCAATTGAGACTAATTCTTGCGTATTTCGCCGAACATAACTGATTAGAAATTACAGTAGAAACAGAAAGATTGCATGTAAATCAATTTATATACATTTATATTACATTATTATACGCGTTGCGACCCATTTGTGTCCATTTCTAGGTCCAAAAATTAGCGATTTAGCTCCTTTAAATATTGGATATCAGAAGCCCATCTTTTCTCGGTAAGATCACAACATCAATGTTGATTTAAATTGACAAATAATTCGTGTTTTCAATTTCGAAGACCTTGGATGTTATCGAGTTAGAGACTAATTAAACATACATTATGCAAGAGCTAAATCTGTCTATTGCAGGTCTTTCTTTAGGCCTGAAATGTTATCTAAATTATTAATTAGACATTAATTAACTTATCCAGACCATAATCAACTCTAGATGGCCTCGCTAGCCTGCGATCTTAACTGGATTGTGAGCCGATTTACTGCATAACTTTCCTTCTCGATTAAACGATTAAATAGATAATCGAAACTATGCTGTTTATCGTACTGACTTTAGTAATGATGACCGAGGCTAGGCAGAAATTTCATTCGCTTAGTTTTCGGTTCATAGTGGATCAATTTGAATGAAATTTTCAGCAAATTGCCTTTACGTTATCTAGATTTTAACTATTATAGTGAGAACTGCCAACTCGTTATCGAATATTTAAGCTACTTTAATTACCGGTGCCACCCATCCGTACCACTTCCCATGGATCGTATATATTTACTAAAGCAGTTTATAAGTATGGACTCTAAGTATAAAATAGGATTAGATATAGACAATTAGACTTGTCTATTGAAGATACGATAAGACTGCGAGTGTTTTCTAATGTTTTAAACGATCTGGTTTCGGTAAGTATCAACAATGATTCGGTTGTTTTCGGTATATAAGAGGCGTCTTGTTAATTCGAGTCTACCGGAAGCCCACAACGGATCTCAAAGGTAAACAACAACAGAAAGTTTTATGCTGGCAAAAAAATTTCAGTGGTAATGTTATTATTATACACCCTAAGTAATTTTGCAATATTTTCTCTAAATTTTTGACTCTTTATGGCCATATATTAGGTTGCCAGCTAGGGAAAGCAGGAAGGGTAAATGGTATTTCCACCCTTTTGTTTGTTAATCAGTCTTGTTGCCTTATCTACACAATGGTCAATGCACAATCGATTCAATACTGGTCACTTTGTTCCATAGAAATACAGTATCTAATTCTATGCTTTAATCTTATAAAGAAATAAAGCATTTCTAAATTAGGTCAAAGTAAAGTATTGAATTTGAATATGGTAAGTAAGTAAGATTTTATTGCATCGAAACATCCATTTAGGACAGCATACATTCATAAAATATAACGTGTACATAAAATTATAACAATATGACAATTATTACAAAAGACACACAGTATTGCATCGGAATCTCCTTGAGGACATAATACAATATAGAAAATATTAAATGCAAGTGCAAAAAATTGGACGGATACAAAAATATGGACGGACATAAATTCAGAGCACTCATAAATAGACAGTATGAAACCTGCATATGCATATGCTTATGTTAAGTTGCAATCCATGACAAGTCGCGGACCTTATAATATTAGGCCTATAATTTTTAGGCCTAATATAAATAAGATCCTTGCCGATTCCTTGGTCAGACTAATGATAAAGGAAGGACAAGTTCCTGACAAGTCACAAATCAAACAAATGATAAAGGTCAAGTCAGACAATGGATCTTGTGCATTTTGATAAGGTTCATGGTCAGACTAAGGATAAAAAACAGGGCTATTAATGCAACATTTGGTAATGCCATTTGGCCATTCCAGAGAGCTATTTGACACATGATAAATCTCAAAACCGTAATTATGACTCCATTTATGATTAGATAAAACTAATTCAATATGAACCTGCACTACGGTACCGACTAGATAAGATTTCGGTCACTTGCAGTTTCGGGGATAGCCGGGAACTCGTGACCTCCGGTCTGCGCAAACGTAGGTTTCATCTTGGCAATCCAATTCAAATGAATTTGATTGTGTTTTTGAATCGCAAAATTCTACTTGAAAATAGTGTTGAATTATTATAAATTTGTGTCAGATGTGTCGAGAAATGATACCTTTTGGTGAACAAACAAGAATCACGGTGAAAAATAGACGGTACAGATTCCATCAAAATAGCCTTAGAACCGAGGTGGTATAAAGCGTTATTTTCATTATAAGGCTACATGTTAATAGGGACGGACAGTAACGGTGAGAGGACATAGTCCGATCAGACACTGTTACTGTTACTAAAGTAACGAGATAACTTTAAAATTATCAAAATTTCAACCACCTCCTTTTATCAGTTTTACTGTACACCACAAATTTCATGTGGCAGGGCCACAGACCATAATTATAAGGACCTATTTCAAATAAATTAACAGAGTGATATAACATTAAGAATTTGAAATAATATAAAGTGTTAATTCAATAGATTAAACAGGCATTATGCAAGAGCTAAATCTGCCTATTGCAGGTTTTTCTTTAGGTCTGAAATGTTATACTGGTATAAACTATTAATTAGACATATAAACTATTAATTAGACATATTAATGACAAGACCATATAATCAACTCTCAATGCCATCTGATGGATCTGATTTTCCATAGCTTTGAAACTGATCTGAAGTTCAATGGCTGTTGATAATTAACCGTAAAATTGCACATGAAGACTTTGTTTATTATTGTAACTGTATGTAACAATGACAATCGAGGCTACAGTGTTATTAAATGAGGATTTCTTGGCTTAGAGTGAAGTAATTTCAGCATATCTCTTTTACATAATTATCTATTTTTTAACTATTATAGCGGGAACTGTCAGTTCTTTATCAAATCTTCCATAATGCTGCTTTAATTATTGATCGTTTTAATAAATATATTTTCTTTAAAATAATAGTGTGTTTTTCCTCTCTGTGTTATAAATTCATCAAAGTAATTAAGCACATCAAAGAAAACCAATCAGCAAAACATTGTTTTGATTTTTAATAAATATCAAATAATTATTGTTAGTATTTTAATTATGAATCACTAGCAGGATACCCGGCTTCGCTCGGGGGTCATAACTCCGAAACCGGAAGTGGTAGACTAACGCCATCTGGCATATGTTACTCCCCGGTCCGAGCTACCCCATACCCTAAATTTCAGACTCGGGGCAGACCTAGTGTAGCCGCCAACCCCAAACAGACCGGCTTCGCTCGGGGGTCATAACTCCAAAACCGGAAGTGGTAGACTAACGCCACCTGGCCTATGTTACTCCCCGGTCCGAGCTACCCCTATAACCCCAAATTTCAGACTCGGGGCAGACCTAGTGTAGCCGCCAACCCCGAACAAACAGACTTCGCTCGGGGGTCATAACTCCGAAACCGGAAGTGGTAGATTAACGCCACCTGGCCTATGTTACTCCCCGATCCGAGCTACCCCTATACCACAAATTTCAGACTCGGGTCAGACCTAGTGTAGCAGACCTAGTGTAGCCGCCAACCCCGAACAGACAGACAGACAGACAGACGACAGTCACAAATATATTTATAGATTAAGCAAACATAAACTTATAAACACTATGAAGTGTGTCAAGCACTATTTGATACAAACAAAATAATAATGTCAAACAACATACAAAAATGATTTGGTCTGAATATTGTCTAGGTAACATTCAATTTCAAGTGTAATTTAATGTATAATTTTTTTTTTTAGTTGTAGAAATAATCGACATGGCATATTATAACCAGCAGGGATCTTACAATCAACAACAATATCAACAATGGCAACAACCAAGTCAATGTTATGGTTCCTATGGTAACTACTATCAGAATAGTGTTTTCTCGGTACAAGCTTGGCAGGTAGGTTATAATAATGGAAGAATAAAAATAAAATACAGACTTTATATGACGTACATATTTTTATACGCCCACATTTTCATGTGGACGTATTATGCCGTCGCCCCTGTCCGTCCAGCCATCCACGTCCGTCCGTCGGAGGGGGGTTGGATGGCTTAGTGGTTAGCACGTGCGCGCTGTATCATTAAGTCTGTCATTGAGTCAACTGGCGTGGTTTCGAATCCCCGGTTGTACGTGACAAGGAGTAGGGTCGCCTGTCCAACCTCGTGGGTTTTCTCCGGGTCCTCCGGTTTCCTCCCACTGCTAAGGACCCCTGCGCTCGGACGAATTGTGGAAATAAAGTTGAACCATGTGTTAGTCCCGAAATGACCTAGTTTGTGTCGAGTGGACGTTAAACCCCATTTCTCTCTCTCTCTCTCTCCGTCCGTCGGTCCGTCCACAATTGTTTGTGGACTCTCTATAGGTCACAATTCTTATCTGATTTTGACAAAACTTCAAATATAGGTTTATCCCCAAAAGATCTTGGCTGCTTTCGATATTGGCATGTATCGGATCGAAACTTCATGGATTATAGCCCCTGATTGTACGAAAAATCACGTTTTTAGCTTGTGGACCCTATAGAGGTCACAATTTTTATCCGATCTTCTTGAAACTTTAAATGTATATTTATAACCCAAAGATCTTGGTTCCTTTCGATATTAGCACATATTGGACTGTAACTTCCTGAATTATGGCCCCTTATTGTACGAAAAATCACGTTTTTTGCTTGTGGACCCTATAGAGGTCATAATTTTTATCTGATTTAAAAAACCGTATTATTATATCACCGTTACACCCTAAGGATGACTGAGTTCAAATTTCGTGAAAATCGGCCCAAAATTGACAGACAAAATGGCCGCCGTTCGTTCTCAAATAGCGTAAAAATAGGGTATATCATGGTTGTGGACCCTGTAGAAGTCACAATTTTTATCCGATTTTGGTGAAACTTGAAATGTAAGTTTATAACCCAAAGATCTTGGTTCCTTTAGATATTAACGCATATCGGACCATAACTTCCTGAATTATGGCCCCTGATTGTACGAAAAAATCGTGTTTTTGGCTTGTGAACCCTATAGAGGTCATAATTTTTATCCGATTTAAAAAAACGTATTATTATATCACCGTTACACCCTAAGGACGACTGAGTTTGAATTTTGTGAAAATCGGCCCAAAACTGACAGATAAAATGGCCGCCCTTCGTTCTCAAATAATGTAAAAATAGGGTATATCAAGGTGTGGACCCTATAGAAGTCACAAATTTTATCCGATTTTGTTGAAACTTGAAATGTAAGTTTATAACAGAAAGATCTTGGTTCCTTCGATATTTGCGCATATCGAATTGTAATTTCCTGAATTATGACCCTTGATTGTAGGAAAAATCACTTTCTTCTTAGCTTGTTCTCTATCCATCTTTTGAAAATGTGAGCGTATCCTGCCTGGCAGCCGCTGGTTACATATAATTTTGATCAGATTTTTTTTTTAAAGAGGAATTGTAACATTGCAGATTTTTGCTGGTCAGTAAAAAATTCATTTTAAATTTTCCATGACTCAATTAATACTGTATCTGGTATGTTCAAATTACATTGAGTTCAAAATTTGAGACCGATCAGTCTCTTTTGGTTTTACAAGGGTCCTAAAGCCTCAAAATTCTTTGTATTTAGATTTTTCTCTAGATATCTTTAATGTTTCATATAGGATAGTCTCAATAATGCAGGCCTTCAATTGTCCGTAATCAGTAGAATGGTTTAAGATGACTAAGGTAAGGCTTGTCATATATATATATTTGAATATGGTGGTGTCATTTTCGATATATTTCAAGATACTTTTTGTCGTGAGGCGCCATACTGTTGGTTGATTTGTTTTGTTTATATTTTTCAGGCTTTTCAGTTTCAATCTCCGAGTGATCTTCATGTTGTATTTACAGATGTGATGAACAGAAATCCTGTAAATGCTGTAAGTTTATAATGTAATGTCATAATATATATGTTCTTCTCTATTCATTTGGAGTCACAGTGGCTCACTGAGTAAGGCACTGGCTGGTACTAACCAGGAAGTCCCAGTTTCAATCCCAGTATTAGCAGATAAAATTTCCCTGTCCCAGAATTTTCCAGGACGAAGGGCCTGAAAAGGAGAATGGTACAAAGGACCAAGGGCTTGAAAAGGAGAATGGTATGAAATGACATTGAACTGTACCGCTGCTGTCTTTGAAAAATGTGCCTCAAAGCAGTCCAGGTGGTGCAGAAGAGAAGTGTGTTTTACTTGATTTCATTTCCATATGCATTGCATGTTCTAATAAACTTTTGGGGGTTTGTAATGTAGTGGGTTGAAGCAATGCAAACAGAATTTAGGTATGCTGAAACGTGGTATTAAGGTTGATACCTAAATTCTGTGAGACAAAGGGTAGGGTTGTCTTGAAGATAATAATGGGTTCTGTATGTAATGCACCAAAGCTCAGTTGTATCTATGTGCATGTTGTTTTTATACAAGGCAATTCTAATTACTCCCCTTTAGTTTTGAGCTTTTTGTTGTTCCAACCTGAGATGTATGTTACGTGCATCATGTATTTGCTAGGAGTCTTTAGATGCAAAAGACTAAATAAAAAACAGGCACATTTTGTGTGTGCCAAGCGGAGTGATGCTGAAGTGGCCTTTTGTAGAATCTTGTGAATGCAAGGGTTATTTACCTGGAGATTCATAATGTGACAACCTTTATGGACTGCTCAGATGACTTAGATGCGGTGGACATATGTGACCCGTGCTGGCAAAATGAGGCGGAATGCGCAAAGTCTAATAATGAGCTACAGACAGAACAAGTGAAAATATTGAATTTGATCGAAATTGAGATTTTCATACATCTTTCTTTTTTCTAAAAATTCTCAGTGACCAATCCTTGAAAATAACAATAGAACTATTGTACACGCAAAACCCTGTTTTAATTTAGTCGTGTGATGAAGTTAAAACAGAACACATGTACAACTGTGGCGGCTTCTTTGATGATCAGGAAACTAAACTTGATTATCCAATCAATAATCTTAATCTCCTGATAACTGAAGTACTGATTAATAGATGGCTTAACAGAAGTTATTCTTACCAAAGGTATAATATGCATAACATAGATTACTAATGTATGGACTATTCTCATTTGTTCTAAATTATAAGACTTTCATTGGAAATGTGAATATGCCCCATGTTTTGTTTCGAAAAGAGTGCATAGCGTGAGATAAATATTCCAGTTGGTGGGAAAAAATATATATACATTTTTTTGAATAAAAATTATTATCCATTTTGGCGGAAATTGTTGGATCAAATTTCTACTAAGATTTTGGCCTTCAGCATCCTCTCAAACCCATAGAAAGAAATATTAAACGACAAAATAGCAAATAATGGCATGGTTGCTATGTGATTTTGTTTTGGAACATACCGACATCTTTAACCCGTGGGGGGTTGGATGGCTGAATGGTTAGCGTGCGCGCGCTGTATCATAAAGTCTGTCATTGAGTCGACTGGCATGGTTTCGAATCCCCGGTTGTACGTGACAAGGAGTAGGGTCGCCTGTCCAACCTTGTGGGTTTTCTCCGGGTCCTCCGGTTTCCTCCCACTGCTAAAGATCCCTACGCACAAGCGAATTATTGAAATAAAATTAAACCATATGTTAGTCCCGAAATGACCTAGTTTGTGTCGAGTGGACGTTAAACACCATTTCTCTCTCTCTCTCTTTAACCCGTTAACTGCGTAGGGCATTATATAACGTCCTGGACAAGTGCCACTCACCGCGTGTAGGACGTAATATAACGCCCTGGGGGTATTTTCCCCAACCTATTCTTCGAACACGATCGCAGCATGTGTAGAACGTTATATTAGGAAATCTAATTGAAGAGAGACAACTCTATTTACCGTTAGTTTTAATATGGTTTGAGACTACTAAAATTTGTATTCAGGAATAAAAAGGTCCAAAAATTACGTTTTTCGTCAAATTAATTACACAATAGGGGATGGTTAACGTTTTAAAAACTACGCAGTTAAGGGGTTAACTTGTTTTTTCTCAAAACGTACTTTCCGAAATTGGTCAGCTTCAAACGGACACAGCTCAGTCAATTTTTGACCGATTCAAACCAACCATACACCATTTTGAACATATTGAGATGGAGAAAATAACAATAACTCAATTTTCAAAATGTCCTCATTGTGACTCATTTTGCCAGAACAGGTCACATATGTTTCATTGCCTGGCAGCCTTCTATGTTTAACACACATTGATATGAAGTGGACACATTCTTTTAAGTACCTTTTTTAGCTGGATAAACTAAAAAAACAAGGACATAAAAACTTGATACCCAACCTTGATTACAAAAATCCAAAAGTAGTAATTTTGTCTGACAGCAGCAAACCCTGCGTTTGCAATCAGCTTTATGAAAAGAATAGTGTTTGTCCCAGATTGACAAAACTATGCTGCGTTGACGATAAACTGCCTTTTTTTTGTATTTCTCTGTCTATATGCCAGTGCAAAGAATCTCAAGTTGGTTTCTGTGCTTTGATTCAATAGTAGAATTATTATAGCACTAGTTAACATTTTTTTATTTCAGAGTAGAAATGCTATCCAGGCAGAAGACTTAACCAATGTATTAAATAATACTCCTAGTATTAGAAATTATTTTAAAAGTAGGTATATGGCCTTCTTTGTATTATTAAGTAACAAACTGGTTAATTCTTGAGCAGCATTTAGCGGTTGACACAAGTAATAAACTCAAAAACATAACATAGAACAAAATTACTATTCTTATTAAATGAGGTTTCATATAGTACTTTACTCAACATGTTTAAGTAGTTTCCCTATTGATTATTGGGTGTGGTAAATTGTTGTTGAAATGTGGTTGTATATTGTCGTCACCCCATGCGCCTGGCAGTCCATCGTCCACAACGATTCTAATCTCATTTTGTTCTAGTTGTAAAAATGTGATCATTTAAAAAAAATTTGAATGAGCTTTTCCAACTATAGCTGCTCGATTCTTGCATGCTATCCTTCCAGAGTGTTGTTGGTTCTGTGATCCCCTGTGTCGTTGTGGTTCCACTGATATCGTCCTCTGTTATTTGTAGGCACAAAGCTGAATTCAAGTTGTGCGAATATTATCTGAATTTTGGATCGTGTAACAGGATTTTATACATCTTTAAAAATGACACTGATTGAGAGTGAGCGAATAGGTGAACACTACTTGGGTGATTTGATGATATTCATCATTCAATTGGTGATTAAGATTCATATTGAATACTTGGATAATTTGATGATTTTAATCATTAGTTGCCAATTGGTGAATAAAATTCAGAGTGAACATAAATTCATAAAATCTTTAACAACTTTAATTGGGTCCTAATAACAACATGCCTCTCTTCAAACGAAAGCCGACAAGTTGATATCTGCCCCTTCGTGGGAAGGATTAATTTTGGTCACGCTCTGTAACTGCGCCTTCGTGGGAATACACCAATGAAAGAACCCTCAACGAAATGTCGCTTTATTTGAAATAGTCATTGTGTTCCATTTTTGGGTTTATTGTTTAATTTCAACATTGTATCCATAGAAAAGACAGACTGTTTTCAGCCTTTCTTACATATTCCTGAAACAATGGCCCAAGAAATCCCTCTCTTGCCATTGCTAGATGGGCTTCTGATACTTGAGCTTTTGAGGGAGTGTGTCTTCTTCCCGTTCAATCAAATCTATCCCAAGTACAGCAACATGATAGCCCTTCGTTTAATCTGGTGTCTTCCCTAAAACTTTGGACATTGATTTAAGGTATTAAAAACGGTGAAAGTATTGTTCATCTCCATAGTGTATTGTTTACATTGTATTTGTTTTGATAGTCGCGTTTGTCATGCAATTAGTTTTTCTGCAATCTGCTATGCACTGGGCATAATAAAATTGTGAGTCATCATGTAACGTTATGTAAACATATTTGGTCCAATTTGGAGCTCTGTTTAAAGCGTAATGATATTGTTACGCAGTTAGCTATTTGTTGTTAATCGAGCTATTGACCAGTCATAATTTGGAACAGAAATTTGCTTCCTTTACAGCAGTGTTAAGTGGGATTATGTATAATCAAATGAAACACTGTGAGGAGTATGTCTTTCTTATGGCTTTATCAGGACTTGATTGAATAATGAAAGTACTATGTTGTAACATTGAAGTAATACATTTATAAAGAACTCTTTTCCAAAACAGCTAACACCATTCAAAGCTTTTTATATTCCTTACGCCTACATGTATCTCATTATTTGACATATTGCATATTATTGACCCCCACCTTTCAAAAAAAAGCAAGGGACTATACATATGGATTAATTTGTCCATTACACTTCTGGTTCAATGATGAATATTCTCTACTAAGCAGAGATACACATTGAGTGAGACATTGAGACACAATAACCCTGTTTGAAATTTAAGTGTAGGTATTCATTAAGCAAATGTCTCAACTGAATATGCTGATGAGCATTTTCTGCTGAAGCTAAGCAATTTGATTTGTACACAATACCAATTGAGTGAGAGAGGTGAAACTTGGTGTATAGTGTCATTACATCAATACCTTGACTAAGTTCGATAATTACCGTTTTCTGCTTAGGTTAAGCAGAGTGGTAAGCAATTTGATTGCTCGGTGCTTTACAAAAAGTCAAATGAGCATGTGATTAATGAATGTCATCTGTTTATTTTATGATTAAGGTCAGAAACATTAGCCTTACCTATGCCTCGTTTTTTTTAAAAGGAATAAATGAAATATTGTTTTGAAATCACAATATAATTCTTTAAATAAAACTACCCATGAATAAATCCCCAAAAGGGCCTTATCTCTTTATATATAACCATTTTGAATCCCTAATAGTGATTGGTCAATAAATATGTAAATAAATAGAGTTACCTCCCTTGTATTACTATTTCTTTACCAGTATCTATTTTTACCACCTAAATTTTTTTATTGTTTTATCTAATGCACAGGTGTTCACATTGTACAAACCTCAAGTTCCTTTAAAGTTACAATTTCATATTTTTAAGTTATATTTTTAAAATGTATTAAAATAATGCCCTAAAATAGATGGTATCTATAAACATTCCTACCTTGTTAAAGAATAAACCTATTAATCCTATAATTCACTATTGCCAGTTGAGAAATTGGCAAAAATATCATTTTCAATTTCAAATTCAAACGTTTAAAGATAGCTATTCCATGGTGGGGAATAGGAAAACAAGGGAGGTAATTGTTTTATTATTTCCGGTGTTATGATTTTTAAATGTGAGAATGAAACCTATGATCGTATAATAGTGAGTTGACAGCCTATTGAGCAAAAGACATAGAAATAATTATGTTTTGACTTTCTTAGAAAATATGAAATTGTAACTTTAATGTATTTCATTTTGTTTTCTAGTTAACTGGAGCCGAGAGTTGTGTAGTATCATGATAGCGATGTTAGATGTATCCTTTTAAATGATAATAAAATGAACAAATAGCGTAATCTTGCCGAGATCTGGACAGGAAAAATGAAAACAACAAAATGAAATGGGCCTATTCATATATCACAGAAATGAACTGGTTCAAGAAAGCTCTAATCCAGTGGTTCTCAACCTTTTTTTTGCCAACAACACACCTTGGAACACATGAAGAAATAGCGGCACAACTGGCTAAATATATATGAAAAATATTTGAATTTTGCAAAATAAAAACCTGGCAAGTCATAGACGGCATACAACCGTAGGCACAGACTAGTCATAGACTCGAATGACTCGAACTAAATAAATAAAAACACGGCTATGAACTTACTTTATTGCAGTGTTTCAATTTTCATCAGTCAAATAGCTAGCTTCTTTAGTGAGAAATTTTCTTGGTGTGCCGTTCAAAAATTTGCGGCACACTTAGGAATATTTTACGGTACACTGGTTGAGAATCACTGCTCTAATCTAATATACATGTCAGACAGGGTTGTATAATGAGCAATTTGTGTGGAATACTTTATAAGTAAATAATGGTTTTCTCAGCTTAAAGATGCATTATGTAAGATATACGTAAAGAGCTGGCTGTTCTTGCTATAATAGTTCAAAAATAGACAATGCCAAATGAAGATATTGAAAATTTCATTCAAATTACTTTATTCTGGGTGCAGTGATCAGTGTTTAAAGATGTAGCATAGATTGTTCATTATCATGGCTATGGTACTTGACAATCAAGACTAAGTCCAGATTATCCAGATATTTAGATTGTGTTTCAATCCATTTAAATCTCGTCCATCTGATGATCTATAGAGTTGATTATATAGGCTTGTCATGTGAATAAATGTCTAAATAATAATTTATAAAACATTTGGGGCCAAAATAATTGAGAAGTGTGTATTAACCGGGGAATCGAAACCACGCCAGTTGACTCAATGACAGACCGTATGATACAGTGTGCACATGCTAACCATTCGGCCATCCAACCCCCCATTATATGATGGAGAATGATGTGGGTAATATATGACCATACCACATTTCATCAGTGTGTATGTGACCTTCAATAACTCTTGGTTGATTTGACGTAAAAATGACCCATGGAAAAGTTTTCCAAATATTTTCCTGTTAATAAAATGTAGAGATCGATGGATGGTTTCATGCAGTGGGAAGAATTTACAGAACTGTTACAGTGTCTTGTATCATGGTTTAATGTCTTTAGACAACATGATGCAAATGGTTCAGGATTTATTGAAGCATCAGAGTTGATTAAAGTTATTAAAAGTTTATTTGGTAAGTTTATTTATATAATTAATCTATCTAGATTTTTAGACATGATTCTAATAGTTCAGGTTTAATTTGGCATAGTTACCATCTTTATTATAGTTTATTTGGCAATTATTAATCAATTTCATTTTGTCAATTTTTCACCCATCAGATAACATAAATAAATTTAACAAAATTTAACACTTGCTTTCCCCAATGTAACTTTTATGTCAACTGTTATGATTTATGACTATTTAAGCGTAGTAATAAATGCAATCAAAACCGTTATGGCTAGAGGATAATAGATAAAATCTATAAATTTTGTCATTTTCTTTCTGATTCACAGCCAAGAACAGTTCTTTGTGTTGACAGTGGCTTGTCACGAAGGAAACAAGTGTCTGTTATTATTAAGACACATAATAATTGGTTATGGAAACAATGTATTAAATTAAAATTACTGTCTCATGTCCATTCTATTTTCAACAGGGTACCAGATAAGTCCTCATTGTTTGGAGACAATATTAAAAAGATATTCTCGAGTTATTCCTGATCGAGGTTGTCTTATAGCCTTTGATGATTTTGTCTCTTTATCAGTTAGACTACGAGCATATACAGGTTTGATACTATTCTTTTATATAGCTATCGGTCATAAGCCCTGTTCACATGACAAGATTTGGCCAATCAGTTTTGCTGGACTTTCTCCCGGACCACTTTTCATCATTTCAGGATCCCAGAATGACGGACTGAGCCCCAGGATTTCAGATTCATCGCATTTTTCTCATACCCAGGTGCTTCACTCAGCCCAGTTCCTCATTTCCTCAAATTTTGCCAACCGAAAATGCTATATGGCAACCATCATCGAGTCTTTTGTAGCAAGGTAGTTGGGTTGGGTTCTAATTTCTTGGAAGTCGTTGCCCTAGAAACTACACACTTGACAGTGGAATGCAACCAACATGGATCCTTGCGTAGTTAGGTAGCTATGTTGGGTTCTAATTGCTTGGAAGCTGCACACATGAAAGTGGAATACATCAGCAAAATTCTAAGATCGAGTGCCAATCCCCTACCGGTACGTGGGATAAAATGTCAGTTCCTTCCCAGGTCCCGGGATAAGATGCCAATTCCCTCCTGGGTCTCGGGATAAGATGCCAATTCCACCTGGAACACAATATGTCTACTCCCTCCCTGGTCCCGGCATAAGAATACTCGCAATTCTTTTAGAACACCAATACTAACACTCACCTGGATTGTTTGTTTAATTATGATATGCATTAACTGTTATCGTTCTATACTAACAGATGCCTTCAGAAAAAGAGATGCCTTACAAAATGGTCAGGAAACTGGTAGAGCAACATTTGAATATGATGATGTAAGTATATTTATATACATGTAATTACTCTTGGGTAAGGTTTTATTTAGTAGGGGTGGGTATCCCAAAGGTTTAACGTGTGCCTGTTAGATCACAAGGTCTGTCATTGAGCCAAGTAGCGTGGTTTCGACTCCGCACTTGTACTTGACAATAATTGGGTCACCTGTCCATCCTCGTAGTTCTCTGCTAAAGAAATGAAATGAAATGGGGTTTAACATCCTACTGTTCTGCTCTGAACTGGGCTAATGAAGATAAACTACGCTAATAAAGATGGGCATGCGCCATACAGTGTGCCATCAGGGAAATTTTGCCCGGACAGCAGCACTACACCCTACTCTTATATCGAATTCCAATTGTCGAGGGATCTTTTATGTGCACGCCAATGTGTACACGGGACCTCGGTTTTTCGTCCCATCCAAACTAGACAGCTGTCCTCCCACTGCTAAAGATCCCGATGAGCAAGGCAAATTATTGAAATATAATTGAGCCTTATGTCAGTCCCAACATGACCTAGTTTGCATCGAATGGACATTAAATTCCATTTCACTCTTTATATAGTGGTAAAAAAATTGATTAAAAAAACATAGATCCAATTTGTTTACAATTTTTCTGGTTCGATGATGAGCATTTTCTGCTTAGGCTGGGCAGAGATAAGCAATTTGATTGATCAGTACTTGGAGACACAATAACTCTGCATCTAAGCTAATTCAGGTATAATGTTCAAACTTGATGTAGATGTTCAGGTGAATGTCTTGATGGAGTTTAATGATGAAACAAATATAAGAAATTTGCTTTGTCTAGGCTTTGAAACATGATAACTTTGATTCTAATTGAGAGAGTGTTACGTTGTTCAGATGACGTACAATGACAAGATTTTATGCACCCATCTTTATTATAGAGGTGTATTGATGTCATTGTCTGTCTATAACGTAGTCATCTCACCTAGATGATTTTGTTGTCACAAGAGTGGCCGAAGAAATTGAGAAAGTCAATAATAATAATAAGTAGCTTAAAGCTGTTAACTTACTTTCACTTTTTATTTTTAGTTTCTGAGGTGTGTCATGTGTCTGTAGTCAACTTCTGAGGTGTGTCATGTGTCTGTAGTCAACTTCTGTGGTGCGTCATGTGTCTGTAATGGACTTCATCATCAAAGTTTAATGGTGAAAGTCAGGGAGAGGTTATTAAAAATGTACCAATTAAATGAATACACAAAAATTTAATAAATTTGACCAGCAACCACTGAACCGAAATCTCACTACACCCACACAATTTATATATTTTTTTTTTATTATTTCTCAAAATCAAATATTTTCTAGCTAATTGAAGTTGACATTTCAAACATGTTGACACTGTACATACCAATCAGAAAACCCCCTAAAAATCACAAACCTCCAATGTTCCTATTTGATGTTTAATTTTATTAAGATGCATTATGTAAGAGCTATATCTGCCTGTTGTGGTTCTTTTTCTGGCTTCAAATGTTATATAAATTACTACTTAGATATTTATTCTTATGACAGCCCATAATACACTCTCTAGGGCTGCTAAAACTGCCATCTTTAAATAACGATTTTCGGTAAAAATGTCCGACAAGAAAATTTTTGAAATCCCATCACTGTTAATATGGATATCACTCGCACAGCCTGCTGATTGAAGGACTGAAAATCAACATTTTGTAATGGTACTTGACAAACTTCAAACATTCATGACTTCGCTCAGGATAAATTAATTTGACTCAAATTTTTAATATATTCATTCTTTAGTAACTATTTTTAAACTACTATAGCAAGAAAAGTTAGCTTTTTATCTAAATCTGACATAATGCATTTTTAATGTAAATCTGTTTTAATTAATTACTTTTAAAATTATACCCTTTATTTTATATAATCTTGTGACCACTCTAGCAACAATAGTTTATGATCTGATTAGCTTGAAATTTATGTGCATTTTCCAGATTAGTCATACATCATAGGCCTAGTTCTCGTTCTAGATCCTTGCAAACACTCTAGCAACAAAGTTATCCTTAATTTATATTCTATGTTTCGATTGTTGTGTTGAATAATTTTATCAAATGTCATAATGTTCTGATAATGATTCTAGACTTATTACCCATGATTGTGTTGTCATTCCTCGAATGATATTTTTACAATATAAAGATTTACATAAAGAATCACAATTCAATAACCTTTATGAACTAACTGCACATACAACTTAGTTGTCTGGCAAGCTATCGTTCGATTCAGTGCCATTTGTCTATGCATCAGGATTATCAGATTAAATTATTTGCCAAATCTGAGATAAATTTGCAAAGCCATTTAGTAGTTTTCCAGAAGTTTAACAAGTATGCCATTATTTGGGAGAATGCTATTTTAAACATGATATTTTATTTTAATGTCTCTTTAATCTTGAATTAAGCAAGGTTTCTAGAACAGAAGTATGTTGACTATCTTGGAGCTATTGGACTTTAAGAATAAACACTGTTGACTATATATGTATGTTTTCTAATCTAACATTGGCAAGTGCTAATTTCATCTAAAGTTATACAAATTTGTTTCCAGTTCCACCTAAAGTTATACTATACACATATTCGTTTCCAATTCCTCCTAAAGTTATACAATTTCCAATTCCAGCTAAAGTTATACTATACACATATTTGTTTCCAATTCCACCTAAAGGTATACAATTTCTAATTCCAGCTAAAGTTATGCACATTATTTGTTTTTGCTCAGAAATAGTTATATTATAACAATGATTATCAAGAATGATATAGTTGACTCTTGTTTGCATATTTATTAGAAGTTTTATTATAAGAATCTGTGATACGTTGTTTTAGTTTTATAAAATTTAAATTATTTTTATTTCTATATGTATTTATTTATAATGTAATTAAATATCTATAAAAACTACCCTTGATGTATTGGTTATTAGTCCCATATATATACCAGTTAAAGTAGCTTTTGTCATTTTTGCTTTCCAGATTTGAGATATTGGAAATTTATAACACTGCATACAGATCAGAGTACATATTGTGGGATTCTGTTAATCATGATCCTTTGTTGACTGAAAAGCATTGTATTATTATAAGTGACAGGATGGTACAATGCTATCTATAGTAGCAGGCGCGTGTCCAGGGGTGGGGGTAGTCATGAGTCAAGTGGCATGGTTTCCTCCCACTGCTAAAGACCCCTAGTACAAGCAAGTGAAATATTGAATTACAATTCCATGTTGGTCCTGAAATGATCTAGTTTGTTGCTTCAGTTACTAACCTGTCAATCTTAATTATCAAAGCCACACATCATCCATCTGTACAAAAGCACATTTAAATTGTTTTGGTCCTTATTTCAATCCATATGGAGAATGTTTAAATGTCTGTTTGTCTGATAACTTTGAATTTGAATTTGCATAAATATTCTCATATGTTGATTTAAAATTCCCTTTGACTAAACGAGTAATTTTGTGTATAACCACAAATTTCTATGATCTTGTTGGTCTGATCTCTTCAGTGGTGTTGTCATTTAAAATAAATAGCTTTTCAAAGTTTTGTGTATATAAAAAGAGATAGAATGGGACGATCCCTTAGATGCCATTTACTGTGACTTTTGGAAAAGACTTGTTTATAGTTTGAATAGGTTATTCATATGTAACAAACTTTACTGAGATGCAGTTATTCAACTTAATTTATTCAGGGATGCCTCAGAAAGAGCCTATGGATACATACGGTGCATACATACTTCTGGAGAAATTTACTGCATTTTGGTAGCATCTAAAACAAGAGTTGTGCCATTAAACAAACCTATGATTCCAAGACTAGAGTTATTGGCCTGTTTAATTTTGGTGCATTTTTAGACTCAAGTGTAGTAGAATCATTAAAGGACATTCTAAATGAAACTGTTTTATTGGATTGATTCCACAGTTGTGCTTAATTGGATTTAAAACCTGAATAAAGAATATAAACAGTTCGTTAAAAACCAGGTTATAAATTCAAAGATTATCGTCAACAAACTAGTGGCACAACTATAAAACCAATGGTGGAATGGTCCTAATAACCCGTTCGAAGATTGTGTTTGTAGAAATAGAATCTGAAATTAAGATTTATGTTTGTGTAAGTAGTACAAGTGCATATTGTAACATTGAACAATTGGTAGGTTTTTCTACATATAGTAGCTTAAATTCTAAAAATTATTGCGTGTAACAGCTTATGTATTGCGATTTATATTTAATGCAAAATACATGTAAACCACAGATGGGATTTCGCCCGTATATTCCGGACATGTCCGATGCTATTTTCAGAACGTCATAAATTGTCCACCAGGAATATGCCCAATCGGACATCAAGACATGGTGAATAATATTCAAAATTCCAAAATTAATATAGTGTAAACCAATACAAGTTAAGAGTGGTGAATTGTCTAATGATGAGTTGGGGTGTTCAGAAGCAATTTGGTTAAGAGATATTCAAAATCAAATTCCTAACGATGATAAATTCAAGCATTCTTAATGTAAGAGAAGGTATACGCGTGCTATCTATTTAGATCTAATTCTTGATGACATTTCACAACGTTTATCAGAAAATTTCCACGGTTTATCGGTAATAATAATAATAACATTAAGTAATTTTATAATGTTGTGCGTTCAGCATGGTGGGCAGATTTTTAAAGCGAATGGTTCGCTCCTCGAAGTGATTTTTGAAGGAACCCCTAGGTAGTGCACGGTTAACCTATATGGAATTATTGACTTTACTAGTTAATATTGTCCATGCACTGGTTTGTGTCGGTGTCGCATAGGTCATACATTTTTAACACACACTTTCAGTTTAAGCGAAAGCCTCAACCGGAATGTGAAGATTGTCAAGTCTCTTTTATGCGATTGAGTGCTAGCAACATTAGATTAAAGTAGCTAGGTCTCTAACTCAATATCATCCAAAGTCTTCGACATTGAAAATACGGATTATTTGTCAATTTAAATCCATATTGATATTGTAAAATTACAGGGAAAAGTTGAGCTTCTGATATCCAATATTTAAGACAAAATAAACATTTTACCATTGGTACACGAATCGTGTACCATAATGGGTTTCGGCGTCATTTGTAGCAAGGGCCTCGAAGAACGAGGCTAGACATATTCCACAAGTCGTATCAAACGGTGACGCCATATTCTTATCTGGAGAGCAAGGGCAATAAATACTATCGATGTAGACTAATAACCAGACGCTAGAGATTGTCATTCGATTCAGACTTCTGGCGTACTTCGCTGAACATAACTGATTAGAAATTAGAGTAAAAACAGACACAATTGAATATAAGTCAGTTTATATACATTCATATTACATTAGTATATGCGTTGCGTCCCATTTGTGTCAATTTCTAGGTCCCAAATATTAGCGATTTAGCTCCTTTAAATCCTAACCGTTGTGACTCCTTACATCAATTGTTTGTCCAACCGGGTCTGTATTGTAACACATTTCTACATAAAATTGCAATTGTATATTTGTGATTTTTCGTTTCTAGTATATACATACATAAATATTGTGATATTTGTTTTTAATTGATATTTTCTGTAATATTTGTTCTTTTTGTGATTATTTTATAGTTTGTCTCATGTAAAAAAACGCCATTTTATAGAAGTAAAGAGATCAGTTACATCTCTAGCTAGGTGTGAAAATTGGCCATTTTCATTCAGTTTATTCTTATTGGCTCTCCCTAGCTAGTGTGTTGTAGACTATTGGGGGGGGGGGGGGAGGGGCTAATTGGTTAGCGTGCGCTTTGTATCATAAGGTCTGTCATTGAGTCAGCTGGCGTGGTTTCGACTCCCCGGTTGTCCGTGACAAGGAGGTAGGGTCGCCTGTCCAACTTCGTGGGTTTTCTCCGGGTCCTCTGGTTTCCTTCCACTGCTAAAGACCCCTACGCGCATGCGAATTATTGAAATAAAATTTAACGATATGTTAGTCCCGAAATGACCTAGTTTGTGTCGAATGGACGTTAAACTCTCTCTCTCTCTCTCTCTCTCTCTCTCTCTCATGCTGATCGTTTCAGCACCTTCTTGTCAGATGTCTAGTCCAAGGGTGTCAAATAATTTTGGAGTGAAATAGTGAAATAGACAACAAGTATTTCAGCTTCAGGTACATCCACGTGTCTGTCGGATTTAAGCATTCTTATTTTTGACGACCTCGATATCAAATATTTCTTGTAATAATGGCTGAACACTGGAAAGGTTTCAACAATTTGGTACAGGTCTGGATTTAACAGAGAAGTTTTGGCAGCACGAATTTATCTTTCGGATGATTATGTTTCTATTTGAGACCTAAAGCATCAATCAAACCATTTTGAATTTGTTCGGCTTGGTCGACATTGTATAATCCTGGACATTCCAGGTACAAAGTAAGGATTAAATATAAAATTATAAACTGGAAACAAACGGATCTTCACATCATGTGATTAAGAAATCGTCCCCACAGAAGGAATTTGTTAGGTCCCCACAGAAGGAATTTGTTAAGGCCATACAAAAGGAATTTGTTGTATTGTCTTCTATATGAGGTTTTCCCAAATGCAGCATTTTTTTAAAAGTAGACTTGAAGCTAACATATATCGGATTTGCTGTAGAATTTAAAACAAATTAAAAGCATTAAACGAGTAAAAACTGACAATTTAGCAGAAGCAGTTATTGATAATTACGGAAGCCTATAAGGGTCAATCCAATAAAAAAGAAATTCTGATTATCTTGTAGCCTAAGATAGCTTATCTTGTAATTACAAAATAGCCTATCTTGTAACTACAGGATAGCTATCTTGTTGTTACAAGATCCGGAGAAGCCAATGAATAACTTATTTTAAGGTCGCCATACACTGATTTATCGAATAGCCAGGCCGACGCCATATTGTATTTTATGTTACATTCATGTCATGGTTCCATAAATGTCATACGTTATTTTCATGCCTCCATAAAAGACAGGCAATAAAGCAGATTTAGCTCTTGCATAAGGAGCTACATGTATGTCTCTAACTCAATATTTTCCATAATATTTGAAATTAAGAACACGAATTAGAATTCAATACTGATCAATTTCTATCAATATTGGTGTCGAAACTATAGAATATTTAAGACACAATTAACATTTTATAATCAGTACACGATGAGTGCTACCCTACGGTTCGGGGTGCCATTTTGTAATGAACAAATAAAAACATATCCTACAACACAATGTGGAAGTAATTAGTAAAGGCTGATTCACAAACGACAAAATAACATTTTAAAAAACGTGTAGAATGCACTAAGCAGAGGTAAACACTGCCGTTTATTTAGAACTGTTCGCGAAATTGATTATAAATTACAATATCCAAAAAATAGAGCCATGCACCCTTTAATAAGAACCCACTGACGTATATTTAGGTAAAATGTTATCACATTTTTAGCCGTTTTGTTTTCGTTCGTTTTAACTTCACAGAGTCATATAAGTTTTGGTCGTTTTGGATTAGTGCCGTTTCGTCTATATGCCTTTAAACAGGCCGTTGCCATCTTTACGTTTCGCTGAACCTCTTCCATGCTCCTTTATTTAATTCGATTTAATCCAAGCCTGCAAATTATCTATCGTTGCGATCTTGATTTTGATTTCTTTAATAATCTATTGGTGTACATTCAGGCTTGGATTAACAAAATAAATTTTCGGAAACATGTAAATGGCATTCCGAGGCTTTAAAGATAAATTGTCCCGAGAGTATTTGTCGGGTGGTTATTTCGAATATAAAAAAAGTATGGCAAATTTGGTATATACTCGAGGGGATATTCAGAAACAATACAAAACTGCGGAAATGCATTTTTTTTATAAACATATTTTATTCACTATAAATGAATGGGAAATTGGGGAACAGGCAAAATGCCCATGTCAGACCCCTATCCCTATTTACAATACA